CTTCGCTGTACGGTACTACTACTTCAGCCTTGTCTTAGCTGAAAATTTTTTACTATCTTTTGTGTTAGCAGTATACTTTGCACTTGTTACTTGTTTCCATTGTTCCCGCGGGATTGGTTGGGATTCACACTCCAGAGCAATAATAAAGTATCGGGTTACTAGCAGCAAGGTTGTTGGTGGTCTTTCGCTATTGAGGTTTCATGTGTAGATTCGGTTTTGTCATTGCCTTAAGTGTCTCGCTCCAGTCTTATCGGTTTTTGATTAGGAAGCAACTTACCTTACTACTGTTGCCAGCTTATACAGTTACTAAAGTTGCTGTTAAGTACTAACATGTATATTTTAACTAGCACTGCGTATTCAGCATTTTCGGATGAAGACTTGAATGTGAAATTATAGGGGCGGATGTGGAGTACCGCAATATTTGGACAGGGGAGCGCCAGATGGCGCCTTCGCCTCTTGAGGAATTTATGCTCTCATCCTACGAAGTGTAAGTTAATCATACTTCCAGTTTCTAAATCTCTTGTTCAATCACCAGCTGTACAACGATCTAAGCTCTTTTGTCAATTTGTAATGAACTCACTCATTTATGTGGTTTCATGAGTTGAGTAATTGGTTCGTAATTTTGCAATTCAGGAAGGAGTTGGAGCTGGAGGAGGGTGAGACTCTGAGTAGGATCGAAGTGCATAGTGGGTGGCTGGTGGATAAGATGGCCTTCGTGACTTCAACAGGGCGGTATGTTGGACCCTTCGGTTACAGCAATGGGGGTGGTGTGCTCAAAGTGGCTGTGAACAAATGTCATGGTTCTCGCTACGCCTCTTCAGAACCCGTCTATACCTGTCTAGCGCTCCACGGATTCAGCTACTCGCTGATACGCACCCAAGGCTGTCCTTCCTGGTTCAGGGTGTGCTTCCTCTATGCTGCCGTCGAAGGACGGTGTAATTTTACCATGAAAATTTGACGAAATTATTAATAATACCGACTTGCCGATCATAAGCTGTTCTTCTGCTATAAAATGGTGAAATGCGCTGATTAGATAACGGCACGTCCTAGGACTCAAATTGGCCGCTTTAATTGTTGTCTGCATGATTGCGAGTGACACGTTGTCACCATATTCAGTTAATGTTAAGTTAATGCATTATTTAAAACTAGCTTTGAATAGGTTGCAAGGGTGGGTTCGGTCAGTTTCCTCGAGTCGGTAGAGACATGCTCTAACGCTATCAACTTGGGTTGTGAGGGTGTCCACTCTGTATGTTGTTTCATTTTAACGATCATGCATGCCAATGCAATGCGAATTCAGGTGGCCGTAACTGTCGTTTATACAGAGGTTAATGGT